AATGTTGTGGCCCCACCCCATAACAAAGAAACAGAATTTCCAGAGGATGAGGCCCAGAAATCAGGATTTTAAAAAGATTCCCAGGTGATTCTAATGTGCAGCCAAGGTTGAGAACCACTAGCTCCTTGCTACAGACCAGCCATATCAGCATCACCGGGAACTTGTTAGAATCTCAAGTCCCACCACAGACCTACTGAATCACAACCTTCACTTTAACAAGATTCCCAGGTGACTTGTATGCTTCTTAAAAGAGAAAACAACTCCTGGAGAAAGCAGGTGGGAGAGGTGAAGAGGGTTTTACAGGCTGAAGGACCGCACAGGCAGGCTTAGAGGTGAGAAAGGGGCAGGTCTGTTTGAACTGGGGCATGGGATGGGTGTTGGGTCATGAAGTCAGGACATGAGGTCAGGTGGTGTAGAGCTTTGAATGCCAGGCCTAGGAGCTAAGACTGTATCCTGAGGGAAACAGAAAAACACTCAAAAGTTTAAGCAAAGAGAGAGAGAGGATTAGATGTGCACAGAGCCCTTTGAGAATATCTTTGTGTTCATTAAGGAGAAGTTGGATTTTGATAGGCAGTGAGAGAATTCTTCAGCGCCCGTGTGCAGCATAATTCAGGCCTGTTCTGGACAACGACTGGCCATGGGACTGGGTGATGACAGCTACGAGATGCAGGATGTCAGCACTAGAAAGAGCTTTGGAGACGACAATCTTCATAGAAACAGACTCAGGGAGACCACACAGCAAGCTCATGAGCTACCTTGTGGGCAGGTGTTGTGCTAAACGTTGATGGGAAGTGTGTGAGTAATCCTCATTTCCACCCTCCTCCAAATCCAGTCACCCAGATGATAGATACTCAGTCTGGCTTTCAAAAATCTTACTTTCATTATCTCACTTTACAGGTGAGAAAGCCAAGGCAAAGCTGGTAAATGGTGAAGCTGGGATTTGAACCGATGCTTTTAACTGCTACATGTTCTGTCTAGCGTCTAGCCCTCCGTACACATTTCATGACCAGCCATGCCCAGCCTCCTCCATCCCATCCTTAGCTCTAGACAGTCCACTCAAGGTTCGAAAATATCCCCAACTTTCTGTCTTGTCTCCACTGCTGTCACTATCTGAGAGCAGGCTGCCAGCCTCACATGGCCTGTTCTCCCCACAACAGCCAGGGAATCTTCTGAACAGAAAACCTAACGTGCCTCCTCTGATCTGAGGCTTCTGATGGCACCGTATCACCTCACGCGAATGCAAAATTCCTATGCGGCTTCCAATACCTGTAGCTCTCTGGCCCCGTCTCCTCTGAGCCTTTGCTTTTGCTGTTTCCTCCTCCTGGAAGCCCCTCCTCTGCCTCCATTTGCCAAATGCCCACTGAGCTTTGTCTGTGAGCCTTCCCCACTGCCTTGAGCTGTCTGCCCTCAATCTTCTATCTAGGCCCCCATGTGGGTCTCCCCTTTCACACCCAGCCCTAGGATACAGCCCAAAAAGGCTTTTGATAAAAATGAGTTGAAAATTCTCCAGAAGGCCCTAGGGTTTGTCCAGTGGGTAGAGCGTTGGCCTGGGGACTCAAGGGTCCCGGGTTGTATTCTGGTCAAGGGCACGTGCCTGGGTTGCAGGCTTGCTCACCCCGGCGCCTGCTCTCACCACACAGGATAGTAGCTGCAGGGGCAGATCCAGGGCTTCTGCCTGACGGAGGCTGCGCCGGAAGGAGGCAGCAGATCAATGATTCTCATTATTGATGTTTCTATCTCTCTCTCCCACTCCCTTCCTCTCTGAAATCAACAAAAAAATATATATTAAAAAAATATCCTCCAGAAGGATGACGTAGACCAAGGCCTTAAATTTTAGGAAGAAGGAGAATGAATAATATTTACCTAGTATTTATTATGTGCCATACACAGTTCTGGCTCTTTACATGTATTAACTCATTTCATCCTCACAACCCTAAGGAGTAGGTGCGGGTATGATCTTCCTTTTACAAATGAGGAAAGTGAGGCACAAAGACTTTAAAATTAAGACATTTAATCTAGAAGAGATTGCCCAGGGTGACACAGCTGGTAGCTGATGGAGATGGAATGGAAGTCCATCTTGAGCTCTAGAGTCTCTGAGTTCTCTTTTTATTTTTTAAAAAATATATTTATATTGATTTAAGAGAGGAAGGGAGAGGGAGAGATAGAAACATCAATGAAGAGAGAGAATCATTGATTGGCTGCCTCCTACACACCCCACACTGGGAATCAAGCCTGCAACCTGGGCATGTGCCCTGACCAGGAATCCCTGACCTCCAGGTTCATAGGTTGAGGCTCAACCACTGAGCCACGCTGGCCAGGCTGGAGTCCAAGTTCTTAACTTATAGGTGGAATGGGGAGATCAGGAGATCACAGGGCCAGAGGAGGCAGAGTAAGCTAGGATGATGGGCCAAGGAGGCCTGAGAAAAACAGACCTCCAGAGCTATTTTGACTGGGAGCAGAGGCCAAAGCAGCCAGCCCCCTCCCCCGAGGGCCCACCACACCCACTAGGGGGCAGCAGAACGTCTTTCCCTGGGAACTGGCTCCCCTGCAGGAAGAAACCAGAGCCTGGGCCCAGAAACCTGGCCCAGCCAGAGTTCTCCAGGTATGAGCAGGGCTGCACTGGAAGTTGTGGCAGTTTGGGGCTTGAAGGGGGAAATCTAACTCCTATTCTGATATTAAAGCTCCTCTCGTTAAACCTTCCTCTCCCTCAGGATAAATCCCAAATGCCCTACCTGGGCTCCTCCACGCTTCTCCCCGTGCCCCACTCACTCCCTCTGGGCCACTGAAAGGCCCATTTCTTCTGCCTGGAGTCGCCACTCACCTCACCCCTCACTCTCACTGGTCTCAGATAAGCCATCTCTTCACTAACTTTGAGACCTTGGCCAGTCACCAAACTATCAAGCTTCCTGGGCCTCAGTCCCCTCACCTGTAAAATGGAACAAATACTCCCTATGTTATAGAACCGCGGTGCTTAACACAGTGTCTGGAGAAGAGTAAATGCTACCAGGAGCCCGGGGTTTCTGTTGCCTAACCTGGCCCCTCCCCCACCCCGTCTGCATTAGGCTCCCAGCTCCGGGCTTCTCTCCCCGGCGCCTGCTCTCACCACACAGGATAGTAGCTGCGCGGTTACTCAGCAGTCTACCAGTGCTACGCATCAAGCTCCATGGGGAACCCAGGACTGTATATATATGGTGGTCACCCAGCACGGACCCTGGCACAGTAGGTGTGACACCTCTTTGACCTCAGCATGGGCAGTGGGGCAGAAGGATGGGTTGCTCATCCTCAGATTCCAGGTTAGGGATCGGGGTGTGGGACACGTACCTCCTTGTTGTCCACGGGGATCTTGAGTTTCACCACCTCATACTTCTCCTCACCCTCATCCTCCTCATCCTTCACCAGCAGCACCATCTCCTCTTGCATCTCTTCCTCCTCCTCCTCCACCTTCGGTGTCTGCTGTTCGCCAGGCATCTTGGTGTCCTAGGGCGGGCAGCTGGGTCAGAAGCTCGGGACCCACCCCGCACCCCGGCCTGGCCCAGGCAAGGCGGTGCAGCGCGGCTTCCCTCGGCCGACCCTGGGGTTGGGTTGGGCCCTCTCCCTCCCACCCAGCTCGGCCCTAGGCACCAGCACTTGCCCGCGACCAGCTCCGAAGACACTCGTTCACGCCACTCATCCCGGCGTTCAAGGCCCAGAACAGTTCGAATCTCCAGTGCCAACGAGTCGCCACCCTCCCCGCGCTGAGTCACTGCCGGCGCCTGGGTCGGGCCGGATCTGCAGGGCACCGGCTGGAGGCGGGATCGGTGCGGAGACCTGGGGGTGCGCACTCACCAGCTGCAGATTCCGCATTCGCGCAATCCCCCCACCAGGACAGGGCTCCCCGGGTTTGGACACTTGTGATGCTTCGGGGGCGGGGCCTCTTGGCGGCCTGTCATTGGTCAGAACCGCTAACCCCGCCCCCTAGGGGCGGGATCCGGAGGACCCAGGCGTCCAGTCCGAGCTGTCCCTGGAGGATGGAGCGCCCAGAAGCAGTGGCTGCCGCCGTTCCCCAGCTCCCAGGACCCCCGCCCGCTACACCCCGAATCTCAAGGTCCTCGCAGTCCGGTTCTGACCCACCTTCAGGGCGTTCCTCCTGTGCCGCTCGGGGTCTCCGCTGCGGCCGGGCACGTCCGCTCCGCCCAAACTAGGCTTCGGGCGCTCCAGCCCGGGCCTGGGCCTCTCGCTGGCGCCCTCCACCCTGGTTCCTCCTCACCTCTTCCCTTTTCCTCTCTTTCCTCCTTCGCTGTCTTTTCTCCTTCTCGGCGTTGCTCTTCCTGGACTCTGAGACATCTCGCTCCTTGAAAATACGCTTACCAAACCCACGCCCACAAAAGGCTACCGCTGCCCCGTCTTGGTCACGTGCCTGCTATGCGCCAGCATGCCAAGCGTCTCACGATCACTTGAAAATTGAATATGTGTCGGTGTGTTTTGTTTTGTTTTGTTTTGTTAATCCTCACCCGAGGATATTTTTTCAATTTAGAGAGAGTGGAAGGGAGTGGGAGACACAAAGAGAGAGAAACATGGATGTGAGAGAGACACATCAATGGCTAACCTTCCGCAGGAGCCCGGATGGGGCGGGGATGCAGCCTGCAACCGAGCTCAACTGCTGAGCCACACCAGCCGGGCCAAGTCGTGGTCTTTGAAGTCTTCCTCTCCGGGGAGTATGCAGGGAAATGAAGTGTCACTCATTTATCAGTTTCTAAAAGCTGGTAATGAGCCCTTGGTAATAATTCAGAATGTCTCCTTTTAGTAAAGTTGATTCATATGTTCCTTCATCCAGATTTATGGGGTAACGTGACTATTTCATAAGGAGAAAGGCTATGTTTGCCAAAGAAGTAGATTTCAGGTTGAGGAGAAGTATAGGGAGATCTTTTAGCCAACAGAGATTAAAAGCTTCTGAAAATATACCTGGTTGAGTTGTTTGTTTTTTGTAAGCAGAAGCAAAGTTTCAGCAGGCAGGGAGGGAGCCCAAGTGGGTTTTCCCTAGTTGAGTTTGAATTGTGCCATTTGTATGTTCTACCCATCCAGAGAACTGGGGTGGTAAACACAATAAAAACACTGTAGAATAGGCCAAATATTACAAATGGATTGCACTATTTGCCCAGTGAAATGAGTCCTTCAGTCACTGTAACTCAGAGGGAATTTCCCAATTGGGATTTAATTTTTCCCAATAATAATTTACCTAGCCTTAAGGTTGTTGCTCTCCTGCCAGGAAATGCCTCAACCCAGTAAGAAAGCATACAAATCATCATATATGAAATGGTGGCATTTGGATAAAATTCAATTACCATACCACCCTAGCCAGTTTGGCTCAATGGATACAGCTTCCACCTGTGGACTGAAGGGTCTTGGGTTCAATTCCGGTCAAGGGCACATGCCTGGATTGTGGCCTTGATCCCCAGTGTGGGGCGTGCAGAAGGCAGCTGATCAATGATTCTCTCTCATCATTGATGTTTCCATCTCTCTCTCCCTTCCACTTTGAAATCAATAAAAATATGCAAAAACTTTTTTTTAAATATATTTTATTGATTTTTTACAGAGAGGAAGGGAGAGAGATGGAGAGTTAGAAACATCGATGAGAGAGAAACATCCATCAGCTGCCTCCTGCACATCTCCCACTGGGGATGTGCCCGCAACCCAGGTACATGCCCTTGACCGGAATCGAACCTGGGACCTTTCAGTCCGCAGGCCGACGCTCTATCCACTGAGCCAAACCGGTTTCGGCTAAATGAAATGTTTTAACATTTGGAAGATTTGAAGAACTCAACCAATATTTTCCAAATAATCCAAGTATGATATTACAAAATTGCACAGAGTATAGGTCCATTAAAGTACAAGATAGAACAATGTACTTTAATGTAAGAGAATATGAAGTTTATTGATATGGTTTTAGATTTGACATTGCAACTAACTTTTAAGATACTCTTAACGCTGAGTTTTAATATAGTATCAAAAAGGGATATATAGAATTACCTATAAAGATTATTAAAAGACTTCTCCCTTTTCCATTAACATATGTGTAGAATCTGATTTTCTTCATATACTTCAACCAAAACAACATACCACAAAACATTGAATGCAGACGCAAGTATGAGAATCAAGCTCTCTTCCAATCAGCCAGGCATTCAAGAGATCTGCAAAATATGTAGAACAATGCTATTTTTCTCACTAAATCTTGATTTTTTACAGAGGGGAAGGGAGAGAGATAGAGAGTTAGAAACATCGATGAGAGAGAAACATCGATCAGCTGCCTCCTGCACATCTCCCACTGGGGATGTGCCCGCAACCCAGGTACATGCCCTTGACCGGAATCGAACCTGGGACCTTTCAGTCCGCAGGCCGACGCTCTATCCACCGAGCCAAACCGGTTTCGGCTGCAAAAACTTTTTTTAAAAAAATTCAATTACCATACCTCAAATGGATCTAAAGGAAGTGGAAAATGTCCTTGGGATCCATGGACTGGTTTTCCAGGATTATATTTGGACAGATAGAACATCGGCTGTATACTTTATGAAACAGTAAGAGAAGATTTCTAGTAATATTGCTTACTTCATGAAATCATCTTTTTGGGATGATTTACATGTATATGTTGAAGTATAGGGAGTTGGGCCCCTATAGGTAAGATTGGTTTCTGATTGAGTCCAAGCCATATGTGTTTGCCTGGGTCAAAGATTCCCGCTACCTGACCTTTTTAATCCTCACCTGAGGATTTGTTTATTGATTTGAGAGAGAGAGGAAGGGAGAGAGAGAAACATTGATGTGAATGGGAAACATTGATTTGTTGCCTCCTGTATGTTTCCCAACCTGGAATCAAATCCACAACTTTTTGGTGTGTGAGACAACGGTCTAACCAACTGAGCCACACTGGCCAAGGCAAAGGTTCCCCCTTGTTGCCATATCCTCTTTCCTTCTGCAGCTGTCCATTGGAACGGTAAAAGTGAACCTTTTGATTTCATAGGAAGCAGGGATCATTCTCGGGTCTAGATAATTTGGCTGTTTAATGCTGCCTGTCTAGCTGCAGCATCAGCTAAATGATTTCCTATTGCTTTCATGGTGGCAGCTTTAAAATGTCCTGGAATTTTGATAATTGCCAATTGTTTCAATTTCTGTATGACATCTAATAATTCTGCAACCTATTTTCTATTCTTTATGCGCTGTCCTGAGAAAGTCAAGAGGCCTCACTGTTTCTAAAACATTCTAGAGTTGTGAGCTACACCAAGGGGATAGATTAGTACAAATATTGGCTATTTGATTGTTGGCCAATTGACAAGTCCGAGTTAGAATAATTAATTCAGCTTGTTGGAAAGATCTTATTGAGGTAAATAAGAACCTTCAATTATATCCACCCTGGAAGCTAATCGCGTATCCAGCTAGGTAATATCACTGGTCACCTTTTACAGCTCCATCTGGAAGCCAAATTAAGTCAGCATTACCAAGGAGTTTTCTGTAAACCATTCCTAGGAACAAGAAGGTGGTCAGTGGGCAAAACGTAATCATTGCTGTCTTCATCCTGCAAAGAAGGTAGCAAAGTTGCTGAGTTAAGACTGTTACATTAAGCCCTGACAGTATGGCTTACTGGGTGGGAAATGTTGCCAGTTCAGTTCCTGATGACAGCACATGCCTGAGTTGTGAGCTTGATCACAGTAGGGGGCGTGCAGGAGGCAGCTGATCGATGTTTCTCTCTCATCGATGTTTCTAACTCTCTATCCCTCTCCCTTCCTCTCTGTAAAAAATCAATAAAATATATTTTAATAAATAAAATAAAAAATTAGAAAGTTTATAATTAAGGTGTCCCAGAGTGGGAGCTTGAGGCAATTTTTTCTTTAGCTCTTTAACAGGGCGGTGGGCACACAGTGCAATATACAGATCTTGTAACATAGAAACCCACACCTGAAACCTATATGATCATATTAACCGATGTCACCCCAATAAATTTATTTAAAAAGGAAAAAAATTAAAATATATAAATGTAGAGCTTTTTAAAAAATATATTTTTATTGTTGATTTCAGAGAGGAAGAGAGAGAAACATCAATGATGAGAGAGAATCACTGATCAGCTGCCTCCTGCACACCCCACACTCAGTATCAACCCCGAATCCAGTCGTGACCTCCTGGTTCATAGGTTGATGCTTAACCACTAAGCAACACCGGCTGGGCTCTTTTTATTTTTTTCTAAATCCCATTTCAGTTTTCTTTCTCTTTTCTTTCTTTCTTTTTCTTCTTCTTCTTTTTTTTGTTTTGTTAATCCTCACCCGAGGATATTTCTTTCCCATTGATTTTTAGAGAGAGTGGAAGGCAGGGGAGAGACAGAAAGAGAGAAACATCAATGTGAGGGAGACACATTGAATTAGTTGCCTCCCACGCATGCCCCAGCTATTCATTCTGTTGCTTTTGCTCCCAGAAACCAGTAGGTACATTCATTGGAATAGGTCGGAATGGCCAGAATCACATGCTCTAACAGTTACATTAAGTTCCTTTGTGAGTCCATCAGGGTCCCGGAGAAAATCAGGGAGATCTTTAGGTAGATTCCTTAATTATGTTCTAGTCCAAGTAATGTATACAATTGCTGGTTCCCCTCTGCCTGAGACCAGCTTTTCTCCAAAGGGAGCTGCTAGAATTCCTGCATTATCCTTGTCTGAATTTCTATCCTCACTTTCCCCTAAGTCAGTGGTTGGCAAACTCATTAGTCAACAGAGCCAAATATCAACAGTACAACGACTGAAATTTCTTTTGAGAGCCAATTTTTTTAAACTTAAACTATATAGCTAGGTACATTGTTATTAACT